ATAAGAAAAACAGTGAGCTGACAAACTCGTTAGCTAAAGAAATGAACGCTATTACCGTTAGCAGTTCTACCAATAGACGATACACAATGGTTTAAAACAACTGGAAATGATAAAAGCTGCGCAACTGACCAATCAGACTACGAATTAAAGCAAACTGAAGTATTCCGAGTACAGAATTCAGGAACAGAAAGAAGGGGAATGGTAACGAAGGCAGCTCCTTAGGACAATTCGCTAGCACGAAACACTAGAATAACCTGCCCAGTCACAGACTTCACAGCAATGAAATAAATTCTCAGTGCGTGCCCACGCTTTGTTTTTTATTTTTTACATAAGTGCTACAGATAATCAACAATTAATGGCCTTACTGCGTTGCTATCACAAACAAAAATACTGCATGCACGCACTGAATACCAACTCGTTCAAAAGATGCTCGCTATATAAAACTAATCAAAAAAACCAACCTTGTCGAATAAAAAAGACTTATTTGTGAAAGGCCAAAATTACTAAAAAAAAAAATACTGTATTAACCTGGGACTGTGTGGTGTTCGTTCCCCGGAAAATGCTTTTTGTGCCGACTTTCGCACACTGTCAATTGCATCTAAAATAAATGTTATTTTTTTAAGTGGTAAAGTGGAAAAAAAATATGATTTGCTCACAAAACATTCTCAAAATATGTGTATTGTTGCAGAGTAAGAGGGCCTACTACGCAGTGTGACGGTTTTTACTTTCTTTTAGCCTGTCGAAAAAAAAAAGCCCCCTAAGCTCGTCTCGAGTGACTGTCTTCCCTAATCGGCATTTCTTGCACTACGTGCGGCTATATACCATGTCGTTTGGTGAGGGAAGTGAAATTATGCTGCTGATCAGCAACTGTGTATGGCATAAACGCGAAGTATGGATGCAGTTTAGGGCCGGATGCACCGGACTGGAACCTTGGGAAACAGTACAGGAAGAATATAAATAGGGACGCAAAAATCTTTTGTGCGAACTAGATCGCCAGCGGTAAACTGACCGCCAAACGATTACAGCACTGGTTAAAGCAACTGAAGAAGCCGTGAACTGCGTGGCTGGAGAATTACGCTGTGAATTGCACTTCAACTGACATCATAGTAAAAGGATTCTGCAATCTTTTTTGCATTCTCATATCCTAATTTCTATGATAACAGCGTGGCGATGAAATGACACTGTACCTTCAACAGAGCCAGGAATATGTGACGGCGTCTCGGGCCTCAACATACTGGAAGCATCGGGATAAGACGATACATCTGCAGACGGGATAAAACTGACACCACGTTCTTGAGACACCGATGAGACATAAGATGCTGCTACTGGCAAGGAGGTCGTACCACTCGTCACTAAAATTAGTAATATTCAGTTATATATACCAAAACAGCTTCTGAAGTTCCGCCGCCATCCTTTGCGCACAGGTGAGCTCCATTTATGCATACATAACCTCTGGGTGAAGGGTGCTATTAGCAAAAAAAGTGCTGCGAGAAATTTTGCCTTAAAAAAGCCTAATAACAGATCTAATCCA